TAGTATTTTGGTACATGAAATAAAAGTAACGCATAAGTTTTTGCCTAGATGGCACTAGTGTGAAAATATGTAAGTGAAGTCTCCCAGAACTTGAAAACCATTACCAGTTTTAATTTCGTGTATGTAACGCAGCGTTGATGAAAGTTAGCGCTCGAAGAGTGAAGATGATGTAAGTTGGCTGTGTGAGAAACATTCGCGGTTTTAGTGTAAATAATGTTGTGTGAGAACAATTAAAATGTGTTGACATTTGAAACATCGTAAGTGTTGCTTTTTAACTTAACGTTTTGATAGTTTTTTATATCATAAATAAACATGTTTCGATGTATTCCGATATTTGGTGGCTGTAATAGACAAGTAGAATATATTGACAAAAGACATTGCAATTTACTGAACGTACCTGACGACGTGCTACGTTATGCTCGAACTTTAGAAGAATTACAGTTAGATGCTAATCATCTGAAAGAGTTGCCAAGGGTGAGTAGATAAGTTTGATAAGTACATTTAAAATTGTAGATTGGTGTACAATACATACAATCTTGAAAAGTAATACTAAAAAAAATTCATTGTACTTGTAAGTTGTAGCCAAGGCTATAGCAGTAAACTGCAAATGTAATGCTAATAGTAATAGTGTAAAGTATGCCGGATGAGTGAGTAAGCTAAGTAACAGGTGTGATAGTAATATTACTAATACTAATGATTTTGAATTTTAAGTTTTACTTTTAGGCTAATATACATAGCATGTTTGATACTAATAAATTAGGACTGTATCAGTAAAGAATCTGAAAACATATTCATCGTATAACAGCAAAAACCCTAACCACACATTTCAGAAGATTAAGCCACAGGCTACATAAATAAATATAAAGAAATTAAAAATGGCAAACATTAATTAACTATAGTGGCTTTTATGTTGGAGGTTTATGTATATATATTTACACACATATATATATTTACTACTACTATGCACGTGATTTTGGTATCAGAATTAGAATTTATTTTAGTAGATACAATTAATAGAAATGCTAAATTTTTTTATTATTTTAGATGTAATCAGATATATATATGTAGGTAATTATTATATATATTGATTTATACAAGGTAGCATACAACCTTAATTTGAACTTGATAATAAACAGGGATAAATGTAATCATAGGGTTTATTATAAGGTAGTAAACATTTGTAACAAGTTTATAAAATGTGTATAATATGATTACTGTTTATTGGAGTTTTTCCTTATAGCATGCAGTCTTATGTAATTGTAATAGTTTTAGAAAATTATGTTGATTAATGGTAATCTAGTGTCATTTTAAAGATTGAAAACTTCAAAAATGTTAATGGGGACAGTCTGTTTTATTATTGCTTTATAAGTTAAAATAATACAGTTAAATTTTGCACATTTTTTTTAAATGTGAGATTAAAGACATAGTTTTTCTGTTATTTCAAAGGTCTGTAACAATTATTATTATTATTTTAACAAGTTATTTGTTATTAGTATTAGGGTAAGAAATGATTCAGTATATTATTGATAGGAGAGAGAAACTAAAAGGTTATGATGATTAAATTTAATTTCTCATCTTCCCAATTCTTACACTTGTTATGTTGTTTAGGATTTATGATCTCTGAAAGATAACTTGATACAAGTAATAGAAACAAAATCAGGTAGAGCAAGTAGAAGGCAAAGGAAGCTGTTTCTTCAGCCTGTTCTTTTTTTTTGTTAAAAAATTGAAATTCATCTTTTAGATCTGTAATAAAAAAAAAGCAAGAGCAAATGGATCCGAAATTTGTAAAGCTAATTTTAGAAGTATAAATGAAGGTCAAAATGAAAAAAATATTTAATCATTACCTATGATTTGAGTTCCATGTGGTTAAGTTTTATTATTAGTGTCTGTTTTTCACTCCTTAGGTCAAGTGGGAAGAATATATAGAGCCTGTACAAAAAGTTTCAAAAACTGTAATCAATTTTAATTCATAGGGAAATATTTTCCTATTGAAAACTGACTACTATACAAGTGTTATTTGTAAGACAAATGAAGGACATTATAAGTAAAATATTTTTATAATTAATTTAATCTCTCCAGAATTTTTTTTTATCTGAGACATAGGAATGGTTTTGGAAGATATTAATGTGAAAAATTATACTATGCTAAAAAATTTAGACCAATAAAAGTATACAAAAAATGCTTTTAAAAGCTAATGTTATGCAACATGATACAGAATAACATAAATTTATCAAGGGAAATGAGTTACAAAATAGCAATTATAAAATTTATTGCATTAAGATAAAGATTAAATGAAGTAAAATTAATTGAATAACCCTATATAGACCATAAAATACAAACTCAGAATAAATAAAACTAAAATAAAAATTCAATGCGAAGTAAAAGAGAAAAAAAAGCATGCTGAGATACATTTAACTTTACACACAATATAATATTTACTAAAGCACCCTTAAAGGGATAATTGGATACTAAGTAGATGCTCCATAGATGTCACTTTTAACAGATTATATTTCTGAGGGCCTCTGCCTATCCCTTTTGAGGTATTCTTAGTCTTCCTTTAATTTGCAATTATCCAACTTTCAGTCCCTGTTACTGTTCCTTGCACATCCATGACTAAGTTTTTGTTGATGCAAGGCCCGGGCCTCTATGGAGTCTTCCTCTGTCTGGAACATTGAAGTTCCTTCACTGGAGACCTCCTCCTTCTGGAACATTGAAGTCCCTTCACTGGAGACTTCCTCCCTCTGGAACATTGAAGTCCTTTCACTGGAGACTTCCTCCCTCTGGAACATTGAAGTCCTTTCACTAGATATTTCCTCCCTCTGGAACATTGAAGTCCCTTCACTGGAGACTTCCTCCCTCTTGGAACATTGAAATCCCTTCACTAGAGACTTCCTCCCTCTGGAACATTGAATCCCTTCACTAGAGACTTCCTCCCTCTGGAACATTGAAGTCCTTTCACTGGAGACTTCCTCCCTCTGGAACATTGAAGTCTCTTCACTGGAGACTTCCTCCTTCTGGAACATTGAAGGCCAAGAAATACACTCTTAGAGTTTCAACTTTGATGTACTTTTTTAAGTGCCTTGATATAGTGCTGACACATTCCTGAACTGGATAAGAGTGCTACATCCCTGATGATGTTGGGGTACTGGCTTCTTTCCTCACCAACGCAATGGTTGAAGAGAAAGACATGTACAGTGTGTCAGAGCTGCAGACATATACAATGTGCACCAAAAAATAGATTCAACAGATGAAGATTTTCCTCAAAAATATAACATTATCTTTATGGAAAAAATACTTCCAAAATTTAAATAAAAGACAGACCTTGTTAAATAGTGTTATCTGGAATGATCATCTCGGTTGTATACATACCATCACAACTGTTAATACACCATTGTTAAAAAAAAGTTAAATCATTTCAATCATTCAACTGTATTATAGTCCACCTGTATTATAATCAAGAAGGTTATCATCCTGTAAATATCCTATCATGAACCACCTCTTAATAGCATAGAAACCAAGGATTGCCTCGTCCTTTCAGTCACTGGCAGCTGACCGTCCTCATAGCCAAGTGGTTAATACCAACCGTAATGATTAGGAGGTTAGTATTGGCATTTGAGCTGGTCACCAGAGCAGACAGACCACTTTTATTATAATGCTGCCTTGTATAAATTCTTATGTTATGTAGGAACTGCCATTACCTTCTTTATCATTACCAAAGTCAAGAGTATACAACAGAGTGTTCTCATCAGAGTCATCTTACTCATCCACCTCTGATTCCTGGAGTAACTAGTTCTTGAGAGGCTCACTGATGATGTGGTTATTCATTTTGTGCTTATGTGCATCATACAGTTATCACAATTTGTAATTCACTTTATTAAGCTGTTCACATAGGAGATACAAATCAGAAAAAAACTTGCTTGTTGTCTGTGAGCACTTACCATAGTTTTTTTTATTGAACAAGGTTCAAACTTTGGTTCTCTCGTTTATTATATGGTTGCTTTACCTGTTTGCTCATGTACAACTTCATGTGCATCAACTACTGCAGAATGGAACCACTCCATGTATTCCTGCAAACACTGCCACATAATTGTTGAGTACTATGTGACAGTCCCAGGGGTTGCATTAACAGGTACTGACTTCTCAAATGGAGACCGGCTACCTCCATGGATAGAAATAATGAAATAACATTACATTCACTCCAGGGAAAGCTATCCGGAAGATTACATTCCCTCATGTAAAGTTGCATTTTTGAATTTCCTCATGAATTGTAATCCATGCAATATGTTCACTGTCATTGGTCGTAACTAAAAAGATATGGATGGACCATGCATGCATTACCAATTGGGAAAGCAAACTAAGAAGATAAAATTCTTCAAGCAAATCTAACTTCCTTGGGAGTGCGGGAATGTGAGCGGCTTTACAAGAGGTAGAAGAGTTCCGGTACTTGTGTTACCAGTGGCCCTCTGGTGGTAAACTGTACTATTGATTCTTCATCTCTTTCTTTTCCTAGCTACTCCATACAGTACTTTCTTCTCCGACAGTCTTTTAACCTTTTAATGTCGATGAAGAATATTTAATAGGAAGTCATAATTTTAGGTTTTCAGTCCTATTAGATACAGCTAGGCCTAACATTGCCGATACATACTTCCACATATCATTATGAACAATAATTACTTTAACAAATGGATATAATAAGTAATTGATAAATATTGTATATTTATGCATAACATTGATCTTATTATTTATTTGAACATTTAATGTATAACACATAACATAAAATTTTTGTTTAAACATTCTTTTATAATTTTAATTTTTAGTCTATACATTTATGAGTAGTCTGATTCTTATAACATCTAGAAATGGAATGCTTTTGTTTTTATTGTACATTTTCATTTTAATTCTGAAATGTTGTGAATTTAGTAGATTAGTTCTGTTTTTGTTTTTTTAATATGTGGAGGACACTTTATATTCAGTTTGAATCAGCAGTTGTTCTGTTTTTATTTTTAGGGACTTTTTCGTTTAGTTCGTTTGAGGAAACTTTCTCTAAGTGACAACGAAATCTGTCGTTTGCCCCCAGATATCGGAAATTTGGTCAACCTGGTAGAATTAGATGTTAGCAAGAATGGTGAGTATTGTTTGTTAACTAATTATATAACTATATCAGTTTAGAGTTAAAATTCCTGAGAAAAATTTCAGTTGCCAAACAGAAGCTGAAGTGTTTTTCAGAAGGTCTGAGAAATACTTGGGTTCTCTTGTCGATTATATATATTGTATATTTAATAATCCTGTTATTATTGTTGAAGTCTCTGTATTGCTCTTCTTATAAGTTTTAATTTATTACATGTTTTCAATATATTCTTGTTAATTAGGAATTTTGAACTTTTAAATCTGGGACTTCCTCAGTTAGATTTGACCATGTCTTTTTGGTATGTTACAGTATTTGCATCACATGTTGAATTACATATGCTTTAAATTATGATAGGTAGTTTTTTAGTTAAGGATATTTTGCTAATTTTATTCCTTTTTCAGGATTCTGTTTATTATTGTGTGATTTCATCCATATAAAATACATTCCTCTTGGGTTAAACAAAGGGATTTGTTGTTTTAACGTACTTAGGACCTTGGAAACTTCCTAAAGTTTACTGTTTATTAAAGTTTTTTTTAAATGTCTCATACAAATGATTACCCCCTCTCTCCATTACTTAATAAAATATTACTTAAGCAGTGAGTGTCACTATTCCTTCTAGCTGAGTAAAGTTATACAGTAAAAATTAAGATTTGTTATATAGAAAACATTGGAGATTTTCATGAACTTAGATATGTGTATAAAAACATTCACAAAATGTGTGACAAAGTAGAATATGTGATAATTTTATTCATCTCTTTATGGATAAACTACTAGAACATATAATTATTGTTTGTACTACATTAAAAAAAAAGAATACTGAGCCATTGTATAAATTCTTTATGTGAGCCAGATGAAATGTCTTTATCGGTTATAAAATTTATAAAACAAAGTTGAATATTTTCTTTGTACTCCTTGAAAATCAAACAAGTATAATTGGAATCTCTGTGCCGAGCAAATAATTAATATACTGTATGTAGCACAGTATCAAGCAGGCAGTAGCACTGCCTATGTAGGGATGTCTTGGATTGTTCATCGAAATGGTATTTTAAATATTTCCTCAATAGGTCATCAGAACTTTACAATACTATACAGTGTTTTATAACAATATCTATGTAATAACTTGAGTTACAAGTTCTGGGAATCTCTGTAAATATTATTGCAAAAAGTTTTAATTTCTTCTTCTTTTTTATTACATGATAACTCAAAAAACAAAACAATGTCAACCAATTTCTCTGAGGTAACATCGTTTTAAATGGAGTATCTGCTTTTATAAGTATTATTGATAACTAGTAGTAATTTTAAAAAAATCATAATTCTAGTGTAAATGATGTTATCATTACCCCTTGAAGTTAGCTTTCTTACTGAAATTTGGTGTTCTTTTAAATAGCTTAAGTGCAGGGTGAAACAGGAATTACCAGCCAATAATAGATAAACAATAAATGTTACATTTAGAACCTCATTGTATTTAGAATTTGGTTAAAAATACAACTTTCCTTTGTCTATTGAAACACTGCATTAAAAAAAAAATCAAACAAGTAAAAAAAAAACTTTTCAAAAAAGGAAGTAAATGTGCTATCTTGTTTGCATGGTTTTTGAAGGATTATACTAGCCATCCCTACTATCTCGTTTCATTGTTTTTGAAGGATTTATATTAGCCATCCCTACATTTACTTCCATTTATGTATGGATAGGCAAGTATATTAGGTATGTAATAAAACTAAAGTACATGCACTCTGTATGTCTGTCTGTATTTATAATTGTTGGTGTATTTAGAAGGAAAACTCATACTTAGGATATTTGTATATCTTATCCAGAGGTATAGGAGGCAAATTAAATGTGGGGGCCCACAAGATTTATTTGATTGAGTGAAGCAAGAGAATGTCTACCACAGGTGCGCCATTATAACTGGGGCTCAGTGCTTGCCTTAGGGCTCTGGAAACTCTTGAGTTCTGGATTAAATTTTATGAGTTCCCCTGATTTTCCTGAGAGTAATTTTCCTAACTTTTTACTGGGACAGTTTGAAAAGTCTGCCCCCACCCTCCATCTACTTCTTGTTCCACTCTTATGTGTTTAGTGGTTATTTGATTAGATCTACTGTTATAAAAGCATACCATAAAACACTAGAAATATTTGTGTCATCATCTTCATTGTTGGCCAAAGTTTAGGCTGCACACTTTTGCCATGTCCAGTTCTCAATTTCCTTAGACTTTGTGAAGTTCTCGTAGTTTATATTACCTTTACAGCAGAAAGAAAATTAACAACAGAAGTTGTTCTATCGATGTTAAAGAAAAAACCTCAACATGTAACCAACTACTATACTAGTGTGATGTTTTAAGAACATTACAATTTCTTCGTGAACAAAGTTGTATGTATGAATTTTTTCTATAGCAGGCTGATTTCTTCAAACAATTAATGTATTTTGCTTAGTATTTGCTGAAGTTCCACCTTTTGGATAATAAAACAAATAATACCATTACAGTCTTAGTTTTCACACTGAAGTTTGGCGTTCTTCTGTTAATAGCATAATTGTGGAACAAATATAGAGAACACATTATTATCTGTACAATATAGTAGCAGCTGGCTAAACTTACAACAGTTAACTTTTCCCACAATATCCAGTAAAAGTGGATTTTATCTTGTTCCTTGTGGCTGTGACCAGTGGCAATATATCTCGTAAAGGGCAGTGTCACTATATATATATATATTGTTTTATTTTAACTGAAGATGTTATATTGTTTTTGAGCTATCTATAACCTGTAGTCTAAAATGTTGATTATAATTGCTAAATGCATATCTTGTCCATTGTAACTGGTGGCTGACATACTGCTTATTGTGACTGACCAGTATGCATCTTCTCTGTGTGTGTGTATGTGTGTATATATATATATATATATATATCTTTATTTATTTATTTATATTATGCATATGACGACTGTTGTCACTTGTATTTTGACTGTAGCTTGGTTTTTTTATATTACTTCTGTACTGATCAAGGGACAGAGCAATATTCCAAAGGACTTGTATTCCG